GCGGGCGGCTACGCCTGCAACCTGTCCGATGGGTGACCCAGTCAACGGCAGCCGCTTGGCACAAAACGTCAGTGCCACCGGTTGCTGTAGCCCTAGTGACAGACCACTCGTAGAAACCCAATTGCCGATCGCCGATCTCCCAGCCTCGCATATCACAGCTCGCCTCAGCCCAAACCTAAACAAGCCGATCCGACGAACCACCACCTCAAGAAGTCACCTGCGGCGCTTGAACCACAACGGATTTGCAGGTACGAGTGCTCAGATTTGGATTATAATCTACCAAAACACCCAAATACAACGTAGTCTCAGAGTCTAAATAATAAGCATACCCAAGTTTGCCAGGCTTTTCAAAATATCTGTTTTATGCAAATCTCTTGATTTACATTATCTTAATTTGTTGGTTATGGTCCTACTTACAATCAGACACTGTACATTGCAATTCACTCATTTTTATCTCCCTCACTCTTATGCACACAAACACACACAGATTACGCAATCATAATGATGATTAAAAAAGGGATAATTAGACCTTGATGAGACTCAAGCTATCATTGTTGCTTTCGTACATAGGCACAAAAGCACACACATGAACACATATGACTTGAATTAGCCACATCACTTTATGGCTAGGAAGCAATGTTGTGTTTTTGATCTGGTTCGACTTATCATTTCGAAGGGAAATGAATTTGGGCAATTCACAAACAGATGCAAAGTTCTGTTCTACTTACTTTCAGCAAACACCGCTGGTTTCGTAAATATACGTATATATATATATATATATTACTTTTAGGGATAATTTGATGAGTTTTCTTTACTCGTCATCTTAACTATGGTTATAAGGGTGTAATATAAGATGTATTTTGTCTAAGGTGGTGAAGGACTGGTAGATTAATTTTCTCTCAACATTATGAGTGGACCTTATATAGTCTCGAAATGCCACTTATGACTGTTCTGATGATGTTCATCAGATTAGATACGAAAGTTTAGCACGTTTTCACCGGACTCCAATTGCGTCAGCAAGGATGATTCAGTAAATCAGTTCTCGCACTCAAGGAGAAACATGTAAGAATCTCCCCAGAGTTGCCGGATCAGTTCTCGTTGTCATGTCCCATACCGGTAAATATGTGCATTCCAAGATTCTTAGCTCGCACTGCTTTAGGCTTCGTCATTGCCTAATTCAAATTCATCAAAGGGATAAATGATGCCAAGTGATGAAGGTGACCACTCAACTGAAAGACAGATAATTGAATTTTGTCACGATCGTATGAGTAGACCTCACGACGCCTTAAACCTAATTCCCAAAAGCCCTTTTCACCCACGGCGGACTAGAAACTACTGAATATGAATATAAGTAGCGTAGCCGATTATGCTAGCAAAATGCAACTGTGTCATCTAAATATGTTTAGATTACTCTTAGTAGGCATACCAAAACTCCAAACATAAATTAAATAATATAAATTAATAGTAAATAGGTTACCAAACTAGCAGGAGAATTTGAATAAAAGCTTTATTCACTCTAGACCACGTAGGGTGATGAAGGACTGTTAGTTGATTT